CTGGAAGGCATCTCTATGTCTCACTCTGATATAAAGTCTATCAGTCACTGGCCTGACCCCAGCCAGATCCCACCTCCTAAAGGAGAATTCTCAAGACCTTTGCAGCTAGGCAGGCTTAGGTCGGAATCTCAGTCCTTCCTCCACTCACTAGCTGTTTCCTTGAGAAAGTAATTAACTTGAGTTAAGGAAACCCTAGTTTCTTTATTTCTAAAATAATAGCAAATACTATAGCAGAGGATGTATGACGGGCCATTAATGTAATGTAAGTACTTTACATTAACTCACAGCAACTGTGTGATGTTGATACTATCATTATCTCCATTTTATAGATGGGAAAACTGAGGCATCAAGAGCTTAAAGGTCAGGTCATTTGAAATCAATGGCAAAGCTCAGATTTGGGCCCAGACAATCTATCTTTGAAGTCCATGCTCTTAGCCACAATACTACGCTGTGCTGCCTCTAGAGATGATAAATCATGGTGTAAAACCCTCTGGTCTGGAGCCAGGCACAGAGTTGATAGGACGATTATAAGGTTTAGAGGAAGAAAGTTTAACAGCTCTGACCACCCACAAAAAAGAGAAGCACCAATTTGTGGAGAGTGTTCTGATCTTGATCTTATACCAAGACGTCTTATGTCTTTGCCTTTGAACTTTCAGGGCTTGCTGGCTGAAGCTTTCCTAATTGTGGGGATTCCTTTAGAGCATGCATCTGTTGGTACACACCACCTACCTTCCCTGCACCTGCCGGGTGCAGAGGCTGGGATGAGAAATGGCGGAGTGGCCACCAGCACAGGTGTACTCTTCCCCGCCCTCCTGTGGCCTCCGGCCCAGCATAAGCTGCTGTACTGGAGCTGCAGTCTTTCCTGTTGACAGTAATTAGAACCTTTCAGACTCAATTTCTTACATGGGAAAAATCCCAATTCGCTTGACTTGTCTCCTTGATCCAATTCACCTGAAGCTATTTAGTTTCTGCAGTTTGTTTGTAGGGGAAAGCAAGCTCCTGAGCCTTCACACATTAGTGGTTGATAAGATCAAGGCCTTGAAAATGTTTGTTGGGTAAACTTTGGAGCCAGCCGCCTGCGTTTGAATTCCAGTTCTGCCTCTTAAGCATGCACCGTCTGAGTTTGTGTCTGTGCAATGGGGATAACAATAGTGAAGATTAGATGAGCTAAGGCATGTAAAACCCTTGGCAGGACAGTGCCTTGCCCTCAGCAAGTGCTCAGTGAATATGAGCTGTTAGTATTATTAATATTAAGCCCATCCAGCCCTTGGTCATCCTTTCCCTCCCAGCCTGGACTCTTGCTCTGGAAAGCTAGTTCCTCTCTCTGTTCCCCAGGCTCTGGACTCTTCTCTCTCCTCACTCATCAGAGTATTTCATCTCTCTACGCCTCCATGAACATATCTGTGAAATGGGACTGAGAATAATGGAGTCTACTTCATGAGGTTGTTGTGAAGGTTAAGTGAGCTAATTCAAGGCCTGAGCAAAGACCTCAGTGACTATTCAGTCTCATTACTGTTAATCCTATAGCACAAAGGGCTGCCTGCAAAGGCCTTTGAGATCTTGGAGAGTTCTAAGAGCCGGGGGCCCAAAGTAGACAGGGGCATTTAGGATTAACTAATGCCTGAGTGTGAGCCTTGGGAACTAGGGAGACTGCTCGCTTGCTCATTTCTGTAACAGTGCCTGGACCCCAGGAGGCACATGCTGATATCAAATTAGTGAATATTCTAAAACAGGTTTGGCTCAGGCAACCTGACAGAATTTTCAAGGCAAAACACTCCTAGGTGTTTAAGCATTTCAACTTGGCAAGAAACATCTTCCTCCTCTCCTCTCCTGTCTTTGCCTTCAGGATTTAAGAACAAAACCAAAATACCTCTGATTGTTTGGAGTTACTATGTTCTAGACATCCTGCTAAGCACTTTGTAGACATCTTTTTTCATCTTGACTTCAGCCCTGAAAGGTAGGTATCATCATTTTCATTTTACAGGTGGGAAACTAATATTTAGAGAGGTTGAGCAATTTCCCCAAGGTTGCATACCTGGTACATTGCAAAGCCAAGATTTGACCCTAGCCCATTCGTGGGCAAACTACGGCCCGCGGGCCGGATCCGGCCTGTTTGAAATGAATAAAACTATTGAAAAAAAAGACCGTACCCTTTTATGTAATGATGTTTACTTTGAATTTATATTAGTTCACACAAACACTCCATCCATGCTTTTGTTCCGGCCCTCCGGTCCAGTTTAAGAACCCATTGTGGCCCGCGAGTCAAAAAGTTTGCCCACCCCTGCCCTAGCCTCTGGGACAGGAAGGGGACAGCTCCCATTTGCTCATCAATGTTCTGATTTTGGAACAAATACCATTTACTATTTTCCACTTACCATTCTCCCAAATACCCACCATACAACCCAGGAGTGTCTCCAAGTGACAGATGCCTCTCCATGGAAGACATCTAAACTTGACATTATTTAACCACCACTTGATAGACGTAGAGCCTCCCACAATTAAAGTGGTGAAAGCTGTTTCTTTGCCTGAGTTTCATTTATCTCGTTATCTGACTATCTTCCTTACTTCACATTTGGGAAAGTCAAGTTCCAGAAGTGACGGACAAGATGTATTCTGATTTTCTGACGTGTTTAGTATTCCCGCAAGACAGTACATTAGAGGAGTGCAAAGTTGTTTTTATACATCAGTTTTCTGACTTTGGGAAGCAAGAATTGGAAACCAGGAGGCTGACATCAATCCCCAGCATTTTTTCTCTTTCTCTCTCTCTCTCTCTCTCTCTCTCTTCTCTCTCTCCCTCTCTCTCTCTCCATCTCTCATCTCTCATCTCTCATTTACCTTCACCCTGTTTATCTTCCCAAGGATATTTTATAGGTAATTATGGGGATAAATGTGAATTTCTGTGTGAGACACTTTTACGTCCACCTCCAAGAATGGTATCAGGTATATCCACCAAAGCTTACTCTAGAAAAGCACTGATAATTCAAAGATAGAACTCTCTTTTATTTACTTCCTGCCCCCATACTTCTCTCTATACCATATATAGGGAGTTCTGGAGTGAGATTAAAGTGGGAGCACATTAGATTCAGTGGCTTTTCTCCCTTCCCTTTGCCTTTCCTTTCCCTCACCCCAAATCTATGAGATCATGAGTGGCTATTACTCCTTCCCTTGACAAAACCCCCTCTCAGGCTGTGCCCGAGGTCAGGCAAGTGAGGAGAGGAAAGTACACACCCTATTGTGGCCAAGACGAAAGCCACAAAAGCCATCTTGATCCTTTGACCTACATTGACGCTGATTCTGTTCCTTGGTGTCCCTGACTTTGGCAGTGTGGTTTGGTTAACTCTGTGCCCCCGTTTTGAATTGAGCTTTAATGAAAAAGTAGTAGGAACTCAGGCCTGTCCCTGGGGATTTGGGGTTTTTGTCTTGGAAAAGCATCAACCGAACTAGCCGGGGCAGGAGAGCTGAATTCCTGTGGCTTGGGCTAACTTAGGTCCAAAGAAACCAAGTGCCTATGATCATCTTCATTCCCCAAATGTGGCCGTGCCCTTTGGATTCCCTTCTCTCACTCATGCTCCCAGTTAGGATGGCTTCCAGGTTGCTTACTCTTGCTTTACCATCAGCATGTCTTTCCATATTTGAAATGCTTTAGCTTGAGGAACACTTGTGGATTGCTGCTGCCTGGCTGACCTAGAACCTTTTGGGTCAGTACACACAGTACCGAAACAGCCTTTAAGCATCAGGGTCTTTCCTCTCCCTTGGGGTCCTATGTAACTCCGCGAGGTGTACCTCTGTGGGTCTCCTGTGCCAGCAAAGACTGGCTCCTCTCTCCCATCGCACTGCTTCTGTATATCAGGAATCATTTGTTTGCCTGGACTGTATACCTTGGACAGCTAACTTGGCTTACTATAATATGACCAGATTTGTGCGCAGACATCAAAAAGAAGCCAGTCTGTGTAATACTGGATGACAGAGTAATAAGGTCTGCGGGTTGCTATACTGTACTCTTCTCCTCCATACATTGCAAGACTGAGTGTGCCTTAGTCCTGCTTCCAGATGTTCTGTCGATGGTCGTTAGGCACATTGTAGTGAATGTTACCATGCCAGAGAATTTCGGCAGATTTAACCAGCTTTTAAATGACTCATTCTTGCAAATTGTTATACACAAGGAAAGCCAAACTAAGAAGGCTGATAAAAGCATGCCTCTTGTTCCTTCTTTTCCATCCCATTTTTCAAACCAGTGAAGCTCCTTTGGCTAAAATAGCTGGGTTATAGCTGGGTGCCTCCCACCCAGGAAACACTTTGTATAAATATGGACCTTAAAATCTCACCCCTGGGGGTCAGTGGCTAGCACACCCTTAACTCTTTTAAAAAGAGCAGCTCTACTGCCCTGGCCAGTATGCTCAGTGGTTACAGCATTGGCCCACACACTGAAGGATCATGGGTTTGATTCCCAGTCAAGGGCACATACCTAGGTTGCAGGTTTCATCCTCAGGCCTGGTCAGATTGTGTGCTGGAAGCAACTAATCAATGTGTCTTTCTCACAACTCTCTCTCTCTCTCTCTCTCTCTCTCTCTCTCTCTCTCTCTCTCTCTCTCTCTCCCGTCCCCCTCCACTCTCTCTAAAAACCAGTGGGAAGCCGAAACCGGTTTGGCTCAGTGGATACAGAGTCGGCCTGCGGACTGAAAGGTCCCGGGTTCGATTCTGGGCAAGGGCATGTGCCTGGGTTGCGGGCACATCCCCAGTGGGAGGTGTGCAAGAGGCGGCTGATCGATGTTTCTCTCTCATCAATGTTTCTGACTCTCTATCTCTCTCCCTTCCTCTCTGTAAAAAATCAATAAAATATATTTTAAAAAAACCAATGGGAAATATCTTTGGATGAGGATTAGGAAAAAATAAAAAAGCAGCTCTACTGAAACTAGGTCTGAAACCTATGAAGTGACTGAAAAGAAAGCAGCAAGTTCACATGCAGAGACCTAATGTATTTCTCTCCATTTCCACTTCAGATCTGCTGACCATGAAGGAGTATCACTGTTTGCTGCAGTTACTGTGCCCCGATTTCCCGCTGGAGCTTACTCAGAAAGCAGCCAGGTATGTCTTCTGGGCTCCCGAAGCCAACTCAGCCCTCGGGGACAGAGCTTCTTAGAGAAACCTGAAATGTATACAAACAAACAAACCATCAGGAAAGAAACTGGCGTTCGGAGAGAGGTTTATTTGGGAATTGACCAAAAACATAATACTTACTTTCTGTGTTTCCAAACGGAAGCGAAATGATCCTTTGTGGTTTCTGTGGGGAGCCTTTGGGTCTGCAGATAGAGTTGGAGGGTGGTGAGATGAAGAGGCAAACACTCACACACACACACACACACACACAAAATCATAAGTATTTGTGTGTGTAAGTATAAGTGTGAGAGGTGAGAGACAGAGAAACACACACACACACACACACACACACACACACACACGCACACACTCAAACACACACACACTCTCACACACACACACACACACACACTCACACACACACACACACACACACACACACTCACACACACACACACTCACACACACACACAGAGGTAAGAGTGGCAGCAGTTTGTGAGGAAAGGGGATGAGCTTGGAGACTGGATAAAGCTCACTAAAGGGAAGGATGAATTGTATTATTTATGCTAAAAAAAAAAAGTGTTTTCAAGATTATTCCAGAATAGTTAGAACCTCCTAATTTCTGTGTTTGGTTTCAGTCATTCACATTTTTTAAACAAATGAGGTAGTTGGACTATGCACTCAGTTAACTTATAACATAAAACCTGAGCTAAGGTAGCAAATGGAAGTATAGCAAAAAATCTTGTTTTCTGAAAGGAGTCATATGGAATTTTTAGGAAAATACTCTGTCTAGATACACCTCATTTTATTGCTCTCTGCAGATACTGGTTTTTTTTACAGATTGAAGGTTTATGGCTACCTGGGTTGAGCAAGTCTATAGGCACCATTTTTCTAACATTTGTTCACATTGTATCTCTGTGTCACATTTTGGTAATTCTCACAGTATTTCAAACTTTTTCATTATCATTACATTTGTTATGGTCATCTGTGACCAGTGATCTTGGATGGTACTATTGCTCGACCGCCAAAGGGGTCGCAACCCACAGGTTGAGAACCGCTGTTCTAGACACTCCACAGGTGGCTCCTGAGTGAATGAACATAGGAATGAAGATTCCTTGTCTGGCAGTTTACAGGGTTCCTACAACCCCTGGTTCTAAGGAACTGCAAGGACAAGGTCAGAAACTATATCCTATATTCATTTGTTCACTCATTGATATATTCATCAAATATTTCTTTTTTAAAAAATATATTTTATTGATTTTTTACAGAGAGGAAGGGAGAGAGATAGAGAGTTGGAAACATCGATGAGAGAGAAACATCGATCAGTTGCCTCCTACACATCTCCCACTGGGGATGTGCCCACAGCCCAGGTACATGCCCTTGACCGGAATCGAACCCGGGACCCTTCAGTCCACAGGCCGACGCTCTATCCACTGAGCCAAACCGGTCTTGGCAAATTTTTCTTTTTTAACAGTGTTTTGGGATACCATATAATTCACCCATTTAAAGTATTAAATTCAATGGCTTTTAGTATATTCACAAAATATGTTCACATTTATTACCACGGGCTGTTTTGAAACATTTTAATTGTTCCAACAAGAAACCCTGCACCTTTTAGCATTACTCCCCAAGCCCCTGCTCCTCCCCAGCCGGAGGCAACCACAGATCTACTTTCTGTCTCTATAAATTTGCCTATTCTGGACATTTAAAATAAATGAACTCATATATCATACGGTCCTTAGTGACTGATTTCTTCCACTGAGCACGTTTCTGGGGTTCATCCATGTTGTAGCGTGTGTCAGTACTCCATGAAACATTTTTTTAAAATATATTTTTATTGATTTTTACAGAAAGGAAGAGAGAGAGATAGAGAGTCAGAAACATCGATGAGAGAGAAACATCGATCAGCTGCTTCCTGCACATCTCCTACTGGGGATGTGCCCGCAAACCCAGGTACATGCCCTTGACCGGAATTGAACCTGGGACCTTTCAGTCTGCAGGCGGACGCTCTATCCACTGAGCCAAACCGGTTTCGGCCATGAAACATTTCTTGAGTGCCAGTTTTGTGCCGGGAGCTGTTCTGTACACTGGAAATAATGTAGTCATGAGTAAGTTATAGTTGCTCCTGCTCAAGGAGCTTGACGTTGGTTTAGAAGAGGATCACCTGGGTACCAGTTCCTGCCTGCCCCCACTTTGTGACAGACCACCTTGGTTTCTGTCCCTCCAGGGCAGCGACAGCCTTCCTTTCCCACTCCAAAAAGGTAGGTGGCGAGTTTAGGGGGGCGAGCCCTCTGTGTGATTTTCAGTCCCAGCAGCCACAGCTTTGCATTTGCCCAGCCATCTCCCAGATCCTTCCGGACAGTCTGATACATGTATGCACTGCAAGAGAATAGAAGAAACAGAGCCCTCTAACTCCACAGATTCTTACAATCAGTGATACCAAGGGCTGTGGAGTGATATCTCCCGATTATCCCCTTCCCACCAGGAAGCCTACTGTTTGGTAGTAACTTTAGACCTTCCCGTTTGAGGAGGCAGCATTGTTGCCCATCCATGCCAACAGCAGTGAGGGAATTATGGGAATTCAAGTGTAAACAACAGAAGGGCCTACAGCAGTGACGGCAAACCTTTTGAGCTCGGCGTGTCAGCATTTTGAAAAACCCTAACTTAACTCTGGTGCCGTGTCACGTATAGAAATTTTTTGATCTTTGCAACCATAGTAAAACAAAGACATATTTTTGATATTTATTTTATATATTTAAATGCCATTTAACAAAGAAAAATCAACCAAAACAATGAGTTCGCGTGTCACCTCTGACATGCATGTCATAGGTTCGCCATCACTGTCCTAGGGTAATGCTCAGGATACTGATTGCAAAATTAGAGTTGGATTCAGAACGAGAGAGAAGTTTGTTTTCTCCCTGTGTATGAGCATCAGGCTTCTGTGTCAGCCCTGCCTCCCAGGGCCATTCTTTCCCCAGTGCCACTCCAGCTGGTGTGTGTGTAGAAAAATTGTATATATCCCAGAACGCGCACTGGTTGTGTAAGCTATTCTCATTTTGTCCAGGATCCCAACTTCACACACAAGCCCAGCCTGCTGACCAGCATGGCATATGGGGGGTAGGGCCTTCAAGGCAGTTACCATTGCCAGAAGGGCGCTGCCCTGCCCCGTCTCACTGCTGGGCTCACTTCACTCAGGCCGCAGAAGGAGGCTCTAGTCTGTGATGATGTGTGTGTGAAAGAATGTAATCCACAGGCAGCTGTACACCAGAGCCTGTTCAGGGCCCTGGCGTCCCCACATGCGCCTGACTTATGTGCTGTGAGCACCGTGGCCAGGCCCTGGGGCTGCAGGTTTGAGCTGGAAACACAGGAAGGGAAAAAAGGAACAGACTCCATGGTCATGCCCAGCCAGAGAGCCTCTCCACCTCAGACACTCCTGCAGAAGCAGGAGGCGCTAAGTAATTTTATTCTCAAATGGTCACCTAGCATCTCTGTCTCCATCCCTCGTGGACTAGGGAGCTTTTCTGATGGTTCAGACCATGCAATTAGAGCCAGACTTCTTTGTTGTTGTTATTATCATTTTTATTGAGCTATAATTGGCATGTGACATTATATTAGTTTCAGGTATACGGTATCCTGATGGGATATTTGTATATATTGCAAAGTGATCACCACAGTAGGTCTAGTTAAGATCTGCCACCACACATAGTTACAAAATTGTTTTTCTTATGGTGAGAACTTTTAAGATCTACTCACTTAGCAACTTTCAAATAGGCAATACCATATTATTAACTACTAGAGGCCTGGTGCACAAATTTGTGCTCCAGTGGGGTTCCTCAGCCTAGCCTATGGGATCAAGCAGAAACCTGCTCTCTGACATCCCCCAAGGGGTCCCAGATTGCGAGAGGGTGCAGGCCAGGCCGAGGGACCCCACCAGTGCATGATCGGAGCCAGGGAAGGACTGCGGGAGGGCTCCAGGGCGTGTCCAGCCCGGCTCGCTCAGTTCTGATCGGCTGAATCCCAGCAGCAAGCTAACCTACTGGTCGGAACGTCTGCCCCCTGGTAGTCAGTGCACATCATAGCAACTGGTCAACATGTCGAGTGTCTGCTCCCTAGTGGTCAGTGCATGTCATAGCAAGTGGTTGAGCAGCCTTAGCATATCATTAGCATATTATGCTTTGATTGGTTGAACAGACAACTGGACACTTAGCATATTAGGCATTTACTATATAGAATAGTCACCATGCTGTACATCACATCTGGCAAGCAAGTGGCAGTGGTGGGAGCCTCTCCCACCTCCATGGCAGTCAGACATCCCCCAAGGGCTCCTGGACTGCAAGAGGGCACAGGCCAGGCTGAAGTACAGCCCCCCCCCCCAGTGCACAAATTCTGTGCACCGGGCCTCTAGTTACAAATAATGCTGCAGTGGACATAGCGATGCATATCTTTTTGAGTTCGTGTGTGTGTGTGTGTTTGTGGGTTTTTAAAAATATTTTTTTATTGATTTCAGAGAGGAAGGGAGAGATAGAAACATCAGTGATGAGAGGGAATCATTGATTGGCTGCCTCCTGCATGTTGGACTGAGCCCGCAACCCAGGCATGTGCCCTTGACTGGAATTGAACCTGAGACCCTTCGGTCTGCAGGCTGATGCTCTATTCACTGAGCTAAACCAGCCAGGGCTCAAGTTCGTGTTTTTGTTTTCTTCAGATAATTACCCAGAAGTGGAATTGCTGCATCATATGATAGTTCTAGTTTTCAGTTTTTGGGTTTTTTTTTAATATATTTTATTGATTTTTTACAGTGAGGAAGGGAGAGAGATAGAGAGTCAGAAACATCGATGAGAGAGAAACATCGATCAGCTGCCTCCTGCACATCTCCCACTGGGGATGTGCCCGCAACCCAGGTACATGCCCTTGACCGGAATTGAACCTGGGACCTTTCAGTTCGTAGGCCGACGCTCTATCCACCGAGCCAAACCGATTTCGGCTAG